CATTTGAAAGTCCCCAGATTCCGTATATGTTGACTTTAGTGTCTATAACTGATATTTTACTAAGAATATAGATAAATTTCTAAAATATATTATTGAAATTCTGAGAACATTTTTTCGTGTGTTTATGGTTAAAAAGGGTAAAATCGGGTTCACACTTTTCCCCCCCCTTCATATAAGTATGTAAATATTTTCAAATTTCACGTTGACTTTATACTGAATCTATTAGTCAATCTGCGGAGATTTTATTGACACTAATAGACCATATTTTTCTGGTAATAATATGTCTAATGTGAAAAATGGATTAAACCGGATCAATACTACTCCTAACCCCCATATACCCAATAAAGGGTCTCAATAAAATTGAGTTTGTACCGTATATATAGTTTAATCTGAGATATTTTTGTTGAAACTAGTAGAACATTTTTTTATGATAATAGTATGTCCTAATGACAAAAATGGATTAAACCCGTCAGGCCCATATACTCAATAAAAAAATCGCAAACTTCCGGTTACCTTTATGTAATGATTTACGACTTTCTAGTTGACTTTAAACCGTTTATGTTGATCAATAAATGTGATATTTAAATGTTTTCATAAACATATTGTGATTGAACGAATATGAATAAAATTGGTCTAGACCGTGGTCTAATCCTCTTATCCCTAAAATTATTATTTCCGTTTCAGATGTCGATTTTTTTCTCATATACCCAATATACTAAATTGAGTCGCTTTGGTTGATTTAATGTCACATATACAAGTGCGTTCCAAATTAAACATAAAAAAGTAACAAAGTAAACTCTAGTGGCGCCATGTATATGTCGACTAGTGCGTTAGAATCTGCAATCCTTTATCGACTTCCAGTAAACATTTCATGACATTTCATCTATTGGAAGTGAAGTTATTGCGTTTTAAGTGTCAGTATTTTTTTGTCTTCGGTGCAAAAATGAGCTTCGAACAAAGAGCCAACATTAAATTTTATTTTAAAATTGGTAAAACTTTTACCGAAACGTTTCAATTGATGAAACAAGTTTATGGCGATGATTGCCTATCCCGTAGCAGAGTGCACGAGTGGTTTCAACGTTTTCAAAGTGGTCGTGAGGATATAAATGAGAAATGAGCCGAAACCCAAAAAATCGCGCCAGGAGAAGTCAAAAGTGAAGACAATGCTGATTTGTTTTTATGATTCCAAGGGTATTGTCCAACGCAGTATTATACCTTGGAGTTTTGAAGCGTTTGATGGATCGATCGACGCTTGTTGCCGATTATTTGATAAAAAATCACATTTTAACAATCAACCACTCCCCGTATTCACCTGATATGGCACCGTGCGACTTCTACCTTTTCGGAAAAACGAAAGGAAAGCATTATGCAGACGTGGATGCCATTCAAAAGGCTTGCACCGGCATACTGGCGGTCATACCGGGCAACGAGCTAAAACACTCGTTCGACATGCTTTTGGACCGTGCAAAAAGCTGTATTAAAGCAGAAGGAGACTATTTTGAATGAAATTAATTGATTTTGCCGATAAAGCCATTTGTTCTGTATTTTTTTTTAAAGTACTGTTTACTTTGGAACGCAGCTTATATATTTGATGTTCTTCATTGAACTACAGAACTCTACATAATAGTATTGAATATTTTGTTCAGCAGGGGTAGGAATATGGTATTTAATTTAAAATGATACGTATTACAGTCATTGTTTAGATCGAGACATAAATAAGACCGAAAAAACAAACTGGATGAAGACTGGATGAAAACGGAAGCCATCCCTACTCCGTAATTTAGCTGGTTCAGAAGTGACAACGGGAGACTCCCGGCGGGGATAACTGATTGATTGATAGAACTATACATGAAAATTATAGAATACTACAATTTTTATATTCGATTGTCATCTTGCGGATCTGTGGAGGAAAAGGAATAATATAACAAGTAAGGAAGGGTTGAGTTCGGGTGGAACTACACATTTTATACTCTTGCAACTTGCAAAGATTAAGGCCGGAGAAATACCTTCAAGTGTTAGCAAAACTTTATATTAAAAAATATTGCAAAACAATTCAACATTCATTATTCGACGAAAGTGTAAATAGATAACAATCACATTTGGTATTTTATTAAGTTATATTATATTATAGGTCACAGCCTCACTTAGTTTTGTTACTATATTTTACTTATCGTCAGCTAAAATTGTATTAAAATCATCTTCAAATGAAATATATGGTATATAAACTTAACTGAAGAAGCTAAATTAAATATAATGAGTTGATGTGAAAACGCCAACCACAAGATAGCAATTTAATATTAAAGGGATATAAGGTTTGGACCAAAGTCTAGACCAATGTCATTTATATTCCCAAACAATTTTTAAGAACACTTATTAATTAAATTTTATTAGAGTATGTAATATTTTGTCGGGTGGAATATTTTGTCGGAAATTTGAATACAGGAGGCTAGACAAGTTTTACCCGATTTTACTTATTTTAGGCATAAAAATACACTATTATAAGAAAAATACATTCACTTAATTTTAATAAGAGAGCTCACATATTGGCCGATATATCGCATATATGTATGAAGTAAACCGGAAGTTCAAAAATATTATTTATAATAAATATTATTATTTATATATATATTGTATATGAGGTATATGGGAGCTAAGGGAAGTATTGACCCGTTTCAGCCCATTTTTGCCATTCAGACTTACTATTATCAGGATTCTTTCCGAATTTCAGTTATATATCTCACACATTGACCGATATTTTTGGTAAAAGTCAACTATAGGCACTGGGGCCCATTGTCCAATTTTCACATCGACTCGTATAAAACCCCTTTATACCATCACGGATGTAAAATTTAAAGTCTCTGACGCATTTAGTTATTAAATTATCGCACTTTAAGTAGTTGAAAACCGATGTAATGAAACCGTTATGGGGAGAGGGCGGTGTCTTCACCCGATTTAATCCATTTTCACTCTGTCGAAGGAAAAGTCAAAAATATGTACTCTGTGCAAATTTAGGTCATATAGCTCGCATCTTTAGGAGATATTTACATTAAACTTGTTAGAGGTCGGTTAGAGGTCAACGCAATTCCCTGTACCAAATCACAGGTTTATGTCTTAACTTATTATTGCATTTGTTTATATATATATATATATATATTGGTTATCGATCAATGACGTTTTTTGAGGATGCGCGACGATTACGCCCATCTACAATACCAAACTTTTTATTGGGCCAAAGAACATGTGTACCAAGTTTCACCATGTTATCTTAATTTGTACTCAAGTTACAGCTTGCATGGACGGATGGATAGATGGACAGTCACAACAGTCAACAGTTCAACTCGTCGCGTTATCCTGATCATTAAATATATATAATCCTATATCTAACTCGATTAATTTTAGGTGATGCAAACAACCGTTAAGTACACAAAGCTATTATACTGTGTTACTAGCAAGATCATAAAAATTGCGATTAAAATTCATGTAGTTGAAAGGGTGAAAATTTTGAATTGCAATTTAATGGGGAATGTGTATTATCATTGCAAAGAACATTCTTTGGCATTTATTTTTTGAAGATTATTCCTTTCAAATGTTGGCCGCGGCTACGTCTCAGATGGTCTATCCGTTAAGTCCAAATTTCGATGACTCGTTCGAGCATTTCGACTGGTAACTGGCGAACTACACGCGTGATATTTTGCTTCAAGGCCTCAATCTAAGCGGGATTGTCCAAACACCGTCTTTCCACGGTCTTCGTGTACACTCTCAGCTACGGCCACTACTGCGTGCTGGACGTGATTTTTTCGAATAGTACGCTCGGTAGGCCGATTATGTTTTCCATATATTCAACGAAACGCGCGAAACAGATTCTTTACAGAACGTGAATTTTCGTAATAAAGTTGAACGATTCGTGAACATTGTTCAGGCGTAAGTAAATACTGGAAATCCATGATGAAATGCTTTGCAATACTGAACAAAAATAAAATGACAGCTAGACACGATCCACGCGTGATCTGTCAAAAAAGGCTTTTGAAAAAAGTATCTCTACTTAAATCACCTGTCACACATTGACTGATATTTTCTGTAAAATGTCAGCATATGCACTGGGGTCCACATTGAAATAGCAAACAATACTGAACAAAAGAAACATGACAGCTTGACATGACTCACGCGTGATCTGTCAAAAATAGGCTATTGAAAAAAGTACCTCTAATTAAATCAACCGTCGCACATTGACTGATATTTTCGGTAAAATGTCAGCTTTATGCACTAGGATCCATATTAGAGATGGCATGTATTAAAAGCACTCTTTGTGCAAATTTTTATCCCGATATATTCATTGGTGCGCGATTTGTACACAGGAAAGTGAAAGAATCAGATGGAAAAAATTTGTGGTTTACGGATAGAAGGTTTAGTCCGCCCATTTTCGCGCTGTCTAATAGAAATGGCTGGGTTATGTTACCCACCGAATATGGTTGAATAGGTCCGGAGATATGTGATTTCACCTTAAGGTGGGTGGTACCGAGACCATTGTCTAATTTGACACCGGCTCCATCAAGGCTTCCTCATACCATCTCGTGTCTAAAATTTAATGCCTCTGACGCATTTAGTTATTGGTTTATAGAACTTTTAGTAGTTTTCAACAAAACAGTTATATGGGCAGTCGGCGGGGTTTCTCCTATTTTCACACTGTCGTTAGGTATTAGTGCATTTCTTTGTATCAAATTACAGTTTCGTTCTGAAGTCGCGGCTTTGTTATGACTGTTTATGGGTTTCCGATTAATAGCGTTTTGTAGGCGTGGCAGTGGTCCGATTATGTCGTGGTAGTTCGAACGTCCGCCCGATTTGACCACGAGCATATATACAATATTTTATGATGATATCTCAATTTTTACTTAAGTTACAAATTTAATTTTTTACATATTTAATTTATTTAGTCGAGTTATGGTATTCATGTACATACATATGTATATAACTATACAAATCTTGATCATTTTCTATATTACCTGGTAATTCTTTTTTACGTTGTCTTTCAATGAGACTTTCTTTGTATATATGATATTTACGACGTCGTACTAAATGACGGCGACCACCAGTGACATGTAAGCCAAGATAAACGGTGTGTAGGCGGTGACCTAGAAAATATTATAACAATATTATTGGAAATATACTACAATCAGTTTATTATTCAGTTTATTAGGGTACCCCAAAGCCAAGTGATAAATAAAGCAATATTTGTTTATAATCGACTTAAAACTATTCGAAGAATAAGCAGTATTGCTTGCTCTTGAAAAATAACAGCGATATATAGGTTCTTAGCACTCTGTTAAATGCTTTTAACGATCCGTATTGATAACAAGTAAGGAATAACTAAGTTCGGGTGTAACCAAACATCTTGTACTCTCGCAATTTATGTGGCTCAAAAGAGGTGAAATATGGTCAGGTGTTGACAAAATTTTTTATTAAAAGTGAATGGGTGTCCATCATATTTGGTATATTATCTATTTATACCATAAATGACATTCTCATAGAGTTTCCTTAATACATTTTCATTCGCGTCTGAGGGGTTTACATTAAAATAAACCATGATCTAATGTAACAACATAAATTCAACCAAAGACGCTAAATTTAATATAGTTTTATCATTATAACTATGTAAGGGATATGAGGTTAAGTTTTGTAGTAGTAGTTGTTTATTTGCGTACCAAATTTATCGGGATTTATATTTTATTCAAAATTTACAACAAAGGTATCCATTTAACCTAACCACAACTTTATGTAAAATAACAATAATAAAGTTTATACAAATTAATAAAAAGATGTAGACGAGAGGAGCGTTGAGAATCTAACTACGCGAAACTACTTTTGGATGCTGGTGATCAGAATCGGGGGTAACGGTGTCCAATAGTTGTCAGCGAATCACGACCTAGTCGAATCAGGTGTATAAGCGAAAAGTCGAGTTGCGCGCAGGATCGCTATTATTGCGAATGGGAAGTATCTGCTGCGGAGACCATTCTTTTTGTTTGCTGAGGTGGTGTACAGGCCCGATGCTGTGGTGTGTTGTATTGCCCCGTGTGGTGATGTATGAGTGTGATGTATTGTAGTGGGTTATATTAGGGTGTGTCATTATTTACCGGGTGAAGCGGTGTACTTGGCGGGAGGAGTTTATACTCATTTAAACAGTAGTAATTGTATTATATGGGAGCAGGGATGATCCGTAAACGGTTTTCACATATTTTCAGCTTTAAACTTTAGTATTTTAAATATTATACGTTAACTTAATTTTGCTAAGATACAAGGTAGCGCACGAATCGTGATATAAAAACAAACTTTTCTTCTGTGTGAGTAATTGACTTACTTGTTTTTTACACCCCGAATAGATGGACCAACATTTGGAAAACATTTTTGCATAATCTGGGAGTAATCGCCAGAAGACTGTAAAATGGGGATCCGTATATTTGTGTTCAAGAATCGATCGTGGCTGTTGCATCGTCAATTCAGGCAAATCCAAAAGTTTCGACTCGTAACTAATCGGGTTGAAGTTAGAAGTCGGTCATTACAACAGATAATTCATGGTGACTTAAACCTGTTTCCGTACAAATTTCAAATAACAACCTCTAGATTTCCCTATTCGCCTGGAATTTTTCCAAAAAATATGATAAACTGCCTGTTTATGTCTAATACCCATTTTGATATAAACGGAAATGTAAACAAGCAAAGTTGGCGCATATGGAGTAAATCAAATCCAGAAATAATCCACGAGATGGAACTTCACCCAGAACGAGTCACGGTGCGCAGTTTCGTCAAGGTGTATTGTCGGGCCATACTTCTTTGAAGAAAATGGTGTAACAGTTACTGTCAATGGGCTAAGTTATTTAAAGATGTTGAATAAGTTTTTTTTACCCAGAACTTAAAGATGTTGAATAAGTTTTTTTTACCCAGAACTGCGCCGAAGACATATCGCTTTCTATATTGTTTGGTTCCAGCAAATTGGAGTAACTGCCAGACAGGTTATTGCGGAGCTTCAACTTAAATTTTAAAACAAATTAATATCAAGAAACTTCACTTTCCTTTCCTGGCCGCCACGGTCACCTGACCTGACTCCACAAAACCTTTTTTATGGGGTAATGTCAAGCAAGATGTATACAAAACAAACCCAGAAATCGACTTCGATCCTTGAGTCCGCAATGAATAATTTTCTAATTAGGTATCGCATATGCGTGATTGAGCATGGATTTCATTTAGGGTTCATAACTTTTAAAAATAATTAATTATATAAAATAAAATAGAATTTGCTATACAATAAAAAAAGTAAATGTAATGCATTGATAAAAAAAAGTTATTACGGTTTGTTTTTGTAGCACGTATCGTGAGCCACCTTGTATATGAGATAATGCCAAACTATACTGCTGCCAAGGAAACATGCCTGCCTTACTACATTGAATATCACATATTTTGACCCATATATATGGAATAAAGTTAATCGGATGATCGATTATCACCATATTAGATGCGATCCAAAAATTTTCTTACTACTGACATTAAATTTAAGAATTCTTCAGAGCTCACCAAATTTTATTAGGATAACTCTAAAGTTGCCGATATAGAGCAAAGTAATAAAATTATTCACCATATTTTGTATACTGGTGCTATTTATTACAATATGATTATATTAAACTTTTAAGAAAGTCAACTGAAAGTAGGTCGAAATTCATCACTACAGGCTAATGGGGTTAGGGAAAGTGCTGAACCGACTTTAAGCTTTTCAACACCACACCACATTATTCTCACCAAAAGATGTCCACTTGGTAACTCGCAAGTTCATTGATTTATTATACCGTATAAATCAATAAACTTGCGAGTTGCAAGTTAGATTACTCATTATGTGAGCAAAGTTTTATTGTGATATCTTAATATATGCGAAAGAATCCAATATTTAATAGATTTTAATATACATATGTAGTCCGCTATACGTTGTAGTCCGATTTTATCCGAACTGTATCATATGGATGAACATTACATTGCTTAGCACTTAGCGGTCGAGTATTTGCTGTAATTTGAAAACTCGCCTTGAAGGTCTAATTTTTATATACTTGCAACATGTTGCTACATAGAGAATAACAGTTTTTTTTTTAAACTTTTCGAGATAATATACTTGTATATATATAAATGATCAGGATGACTAAACGAATTGAATTCTTTTGAATTAAATTTCTTTTTTACTGCAATTTTCATCCATTTTTTTATGTACATAGGTCGTTTTCGTGTTTTTGGCTGATGATAATAACGTCTCGACATCTTGACATGCTTTAAATTCTCTGCAACAATTTTTCATTCACTATTAATTGGTCGCGCAGAAATACATAAGAAGGCTTTCTATGTTTCGAACTTCGGCGGCGATGGTGGCATTGATCTCATGAAGAACCAATTTACTTTCATTGATTGACTGATTGATTTTAAGCCATATGGAGGCCATCAAGACGCACCCAAATGTGCTCATATATTTCAAAATTCTATCAACGTCCCGACGAGTTTCTGCCGTAAGGTTTAGTTTTTAAACTTTTTTCAAAGCGTTTATCAATTCGAATAGATTTTTCGCAAATGGCTAGACGGCCACGATTCTGGCAGACAACACTTTATTAGAAAGACAGTGAAGAGAATTGGGTATTTTAGATTTTAGAATTATCCAACATTGTGAAAATATTGGAACATTTTTGAACGATACCAGAATAACTTATTGCTCGAGGACAGTTTCAGCCAAATCGACTTCAGAAAAATTCAGCGTGTGGGCCGAAAGAATTTATACTTATCTTCACGTTGGATGTGATTTTGCGCTCCTTCATATTTACCGCACATACAATTACCATTATGGTCGTCCTGCCCACGGCAATCTTCTACAGGAATGTTGAAATTTTTCAATATTTTGCAAATTAAAGCTACTGCCGGGTTTTTCGCGACAATCTACAAAAGCGAGAAGTTGTTCATCTATGTAGTAAACGTTTTTCTCAGTCTCATTGAGACGGATATAGCGTAAAATAAATGTAGTTTGATACGAGCTCTTTTCAAAACTCCGGGCACGGGGAATAACAATGTATCATCTTTCCTAAAATGCATGAAGTCAAGGCAATACAACCCCTAGTCCTCGTACACTAAATCTTCTTCCTAATGAGATTCAGTGAACCTTTATTTCCGCTACAAAGTTTTACGTTATTCAGGGTGTCTTCTTGTTCTACGAGAGGACTCATATAATCCTGCTTTGGAAATAACTGTCGAAATTATAGGCAATTCACATGATAATAGTCATCAAATTTCTGGCTTCTGTACGCGGTCGTTAGCTCCAAACGCAGGATTTCCAAATGGCAGCACATTTCTTCGAATCAAGTTACTGTACTAATTCTCAAATATATCAAGTGACAAGTAAAATATATATTATTCTTATATTAAACAAGTTAGCTTACCTTCAACATGAAAATTGTATTTTATCCCTTCGCATCAAAGTGAATTAAGGCATCCGTTGAAAATTATAGGGAAATTGCAAAATTATCAACAATTATCGCAGACGAAATAACTTTTTTTATTTCCCCACTAATTTCTTGTTCTCAGCCAACTTCGTAAAGGGAAATCAACTCTAACAAATTTGCTTGGATTTGTGGGTTTTAGGGAACATAAACATATGGATCTTTTATACAGGGAGCAAAAGCATAAGGATGTTATATACACTGACTAGGGATAATCAAACCTTTTCATGTACCATAAGCATATGAATGAACGTGAACACTAACTTTGATTGAATGATTAGAACGAACGGGCCGAAGACATCAACAGTGACAGCAAACGTCAAGAATTCAACACAATTCAATTTCAGTACCAGATGGAGACCGATCTAAGGTACAGATAAGATAACTTGTTTACAATAGCCACCTACCTAAAAACTTAGTAAACTAATGTGCGCTTGTCCTAGTCATGCGCGTGTCCTAGTCGTGCGCGTTTGTGTAGGACAAATGTAGTATGAGACGCATCTGCGCATAAGTGCATTTTTACTGGTTGAAAATCCAGAAGGTCAAATGCGAAAAATTGGAAGTGTAAATTAAATAAAAATGTGTTTTTGTTTTTCTGAACCGAACCCGCATACTAC